TCCTCTTCTTCTTCTTTTCTTCTTCTTCTTTCTTCTTTTCTTCTTCTGCTTCTTCTTCTCTTTCTTCTTCTTCTTCTCTTCTTCTTCTTTCTTTTCTTCTTCTTCTTCTTTTTCTCTCTTCTTTCTCTTCTTCTTCTCTTCTTTTCTTTTCTTCTTCTTCTTCTTCTTTCTTCTTCTTTCTTTCTTTCTTATTTCTTCTTCTTCTTTCTTTTTTTCTTCTTTTCTTTTTTTTCTTCTTTTCTTCTTTCTTCTTCTTCTTTTCTTCTTCTTTTCTTCTTCTTCTTTCTTCTTTCTTCTTTCTTCTTCTTTCTTCTTCTTCTTCTTCTTCTTCTTCTTCTTCTTCTTCTTCTTCTTCTTCTTCTTCTTCTTCTTCTTTCTTCTTCTTCTTCTTCTTCTTATAACAGAGCCATACAAAGCAGTGTGCTTACAGTGGAAAGCACAGCACATTCCCCATAGTAGTAACACACAAAACACACAGTTAACCCTTTGATCACTCCACTTGTTAACCCCTTCCTGCCCAGTGCCATTAGTACAGCGTCAGTGCTTTTTATGAGCACTGATCACTGTATTGGTGTCACTGGGGATGTCAGTGACACCAAGTTAGTTCGAAATTTTTTTCTGACATGTTGGTGTTATACCTTTCACTTTGAATGTTCTAAGTTGCTTTGAGTAAATACAGCTGGATAAAACAAAATGCTATTGGTGGATGGTTATGTCAACTACATCATTCAGTGATCGTCGGCAAAGCTAACAGGGAGAAACCTGTGTGTAAAAAACACAGGTCTCCCTCTTGCCAGCAAGGACATGCTGCTTTGTATTACTCTGCACAGCAGCATGTCTCCCTAGTAAAGCACACACACAGCACACAATTAACCCTTTGATTGCTCCACATGTTAACCCCTTTCTGCCCAGTGCTATTGGTACAGTGTCAGTGCTTTTTATGAGCATTGATCACTGTATTGGTGTCACTAGGGATGTCAGTGACACCAAGTTAGTTCCCCCCCCCGTGTCAGAATGCCCGCCGCAGTCCCGCTATATGTCGCTGATCGCCGCCTCTACTTACAAAAAAAAAATATACCGCCATTTGTAAACGTTATAACATCCGTGTAAACCAATTGAGTTACACGTATTGGGATTTTTTTTTTAAACAAAGACATAGAGCTGAATACATTTTGGCTTAAATTTATGACAAAATTTTTATTTTTTTTATTTTTTTACTGGACATGTGTAGTAGCAAATAGTCAAAAATATAGTTTTTTTTTCTCAAAATTGTTTATGACACAAAAATAAAAAACGCACAGGCGATCAAATACCACCGAAAGAAAGCTCAACTAGTGGAAAAAAAGGACGTAAATTTAATTTGTATGCAGCGTTGCATAACCGCGCAATTGGCAGTTAAAATAACGTAGCGCCGTAACGCAAAAAATGGCCTGGTCAGGAGGGGGGGGGGGGGGGGGGGGGGGGGGGATCCTCTGGAAGGCAAGGGGTTAAAAATCATTTGTTTTTGCCCAGTTCACCCAATGAATGCAGATTCACTGGACGCATGACGACAGTTTTGCTATCACATGACAGATTTGCAAAACTGTTTTCAGCCGCTAAGCGTTGATTTACTTTACGTCATGAAAGGGTTAATCAGGCTGATTTTTTTTTTTTTTTTCCAATGTCATATTCTTCGCACGGTCTGATAAAAGCAGATGCTGGAAGTGTGGAAGATTCGTGTACAGGACTTGGCGAAGTCACGCCGTACATCACCGCCAGCATTGGAGCGCAATTCTCTGACACCCTTCGCTGCTGGCAGGTAGATGTGGGCACGTCATGCTTGGCTCACTCTCCACCGAGCCATCCAGATTCCAGCGCACAGCGACTACCGCTGGCGACTTCTAAGAAAACTCCTACTTGCAATGCCGCCGCCGCCGCTGTTGTTAAGGACCGGGACCGCTCATGCTGCAAAACTCAAGGATTTTAAAACCAATACAATAATTAATGGCGTATTGATCCCCGATCAATAGATAAATGAATTGAAAGGGTTGTGCAAAGAGAGATCATTATCTGCAGTTAGACGTAAAGAGGAAACCATTTCTCAGGCTTCATTCAAGCACAAGCCATGGAGAAGCTAGGTGACGGGGGGAGCAAACTTGGGGGTGGAGCAAATATGGGGGGGGGGGGTTGTCTATAGTTATTTTTTGCATTTTTCTTTTCAAGGGGCATATTCATAAAGCGTTACGTTCACCAAACATTCAAAACTTCCTGGTATTTGTGCAGGTTAAAAAAAAAAAATAATTTTAGGCCTGAAGATTACATACCCTCCCCCCCTCCAAAAAAAAAAAAAAATCATTAAAGTGGAACTGCACTGCAGCTAAGAATGACAAACCAAAAATGGTATTTAACCTTTTCACTGCCCAAACCATTTTTACATACAACAGGGGGCATCTGCAAGAATCTGAAGAAACAGCAGGGGGCATCTGCAAGAATCTGAAGAAACAGCAGGAGGCAGCTGCAAGAATATGAAGAAACAGCAGGAGGCAGCTGCAAGAACATGAAGAAACAGCAGGAGGCAGCTGCAAGAATCTGAAGAAACAGCAGAGGGCAGCTGCAAGAATATGAAGAAACAGCAGGAGGCAGCTGCAAGAATATGAAGAAACAGTAGGGGGCAGCTGCAAGAATCTGAAGAAACAGCAGGAGGCAGCTGCAAGAATATGAAGAAACAGTAGGGGGCAGCTGCACAAATCTGAAGAAACAGGGGGCAGCTGCAAGAATCTGACGAAACAGTAGGGGGCAGCTGCACAAATCTGAAGAAACAGTAGGGGGCAGCTGCACAAATCTGACGAAAACAGTAGGGGGCATCTGCAAGAATCTGAAGAAACAGCAGGAGGCATCTGCAAGAATCTGAAGAAACAGCAGGGGGCATCTGCAAGAACTGAAGAAACAGCAGGAGGCAGCTGCAAGAATATGAAGAAACAGCAACAGCTGCAAGAATCTGAAGAAACAGCAGGGCAGCTGCAAGAATCTGAAGAAACAGCAGGAGGCAGCTGCAAGAACATGAAGAAACAGCAGGAGGCAGCTGCAAGAATCTGAAGAAACAACAGGAGGCAGCTGCAAGAATATGAAGAAACAGCAGAGGCAGCTGCAAGAATCTGAATGAAAAAGCAAGGCAGCTGCAGAATATGAAGAAACAGCAGGGCAGCTGCAAGAATATGAATCAGCTGCAAGAATCTGAAGAAACAGCAGGAGGCAGCTGCAAGGGGAGGGCAGCTGCAAGAATCTGAAGAAACAGAGGGGGCAGCTGCAAGAATATGAAGAAACAGTGGGGGCAGCTGCAAGAGAAAAGGGGGCAGCTGCACAAATCTGAAGAAACAGCAGGGGGCAGATGCAAGAATCTGACGAAACAGCATGGGGCAGCTGCAAGAATCTGAAGAAACAGTAGGGGGCAGCTGCACAAATCTGACGAAACAGTAGGGGGCAGCTGCAAGAATCTGAAGAAACAGTAGGGGGCAGCTGCAAGAATCTGAAGAAAAGGGGGCAGCTGCAAGAATCTGACGAAACAGCAGGGGGCAGCTGCAAGAATATGAAGAACAGCAGGGGGCAGCTGCAATATGAAACAGCAGGGGGCAGCTGCAAGAATATGAAGAAACAGCAGGGGGCAGCTGCAAGAATATGAAGAAACAGCAGGAAGCTGCATGAATATGAAGAAACAGCAGGGGGCAGCTGCAAGAATATGAAGAAACAGCAGGAGGCAGCTGCAAGAATATGAAGAAACAGCAGGGGGCAGCTGCAAGAATATGAAGAAACAGCAGGGGGCAGCTGCAAGAATATGAAGAAACAGTAGGGGGCAGCTGCACAAATCTGAAGAAACAGTAGGGGGCAGCTGCAAGAATCTGACGAAACAGCATAGGGGGCAGCTGCACAAATCTGAAGAAACAGTAGGGGGCAGCTGCAAGAATCTGAAGAAACAGCAGGAGGCAGCTGCAAAATCTGAAGAAACAGCAGGAGGCAGCTGCAAGAATATGAAGAAACAGCAGGGGGCAGCTGCAAGAATATGAAGAAACAGCAGGGGGCAGCTGCAAGAATATGGTGAACCGTATTGGAGGTAAACCATTTACACCCACCTGTCCATACGGATGCATGGACCTTCCTATCTGAGAATTTTTTAGTGATACACCGATATATCGGGCGCCAAAAATTATCAGCCAAAAATAAAGTTTTCAGCGTTTTGCGAATAAAAAAGAAAAAAGGTGCTGATAATGATAACTGACTTCAGTGCAAAATTGAATCTCATTGACTTCAATGCAAAATTGTGTTCCATTGACTTCAATACAAAAATACCCCTATTAACTTTAATGCAAAATCACGTCCCATTGACTGCAATGCAAAAACGCCTCCTATTGGCTTCAATGCAAAATCGTGTTCCATTGACTTGCAAAAATGCCTCTATTTAAAGTGTTACTAAACCCAGGACTCCTCATTTGCTATATCCGCTCTCCCCGGACTTCGCATTCACTAAAGCTGGTCTTCTCGGACCCTGCATTCACTATATCTGGTCTCCCCGGACCCTGCATTCACTATATCTGGTCTCCCCGGACCCTGCATTCACTATATCCAGTCTCCCTGAACCCTGCATTCACTATATCTGGTCTCCCTGAACCATGCATTCACTATATCCGGTCTCCCCGGACCCCGCATTCACTATATTCGGTCTCCCTGGACCCTGCATTCACTATATCCAGTCTCCCCGGACCCTGCATTCACTATATCCGGTCTCCCTGGACCCTGCATTCACTATATCGGTCTCCCCGGACCCTGCATTCACTATATCCGGTCTCCCCGAACCCTGAATTCACTATATCCGGTCTCCCGGACCCTGCATTCACTATATCTGGTCTCCCCGGACCCTGCATTCATTATATCTGGTCTCCCGGACCCCGCATTCACTATATCTGGTCTCCACGGACCCCGCATTCACTATATCCGCTCTCCCCGGACCCCGCATTCACTATATCTGGTCTCCCCGGACCCCGCATTCACTATATCCGCTCTCCCCGGACCCTGCATTCACTATATCCTCTTCCCGGACCCCGCATTCACTATATCCAGTCTCCCTGGACCCTGCATTCACTATATCCGCTCTCCCCGGACCCTGCATTCACTATATCCGCTCTTCCCGGACCCCGCATTCACTATATCCAGTCTCCCCGGACCCTGCATTCACTATATCTGGTCTCCCCGGACCCCGCATTCACTATATCTGGTCTCCCGGACCCTGCATTCACTATATATGGTCTCCCCGGACCCTGCATTCACTATATCTGGTCTCCCCGGACCCTGCATTCACTATATCCACTCTCCACGGACCCCGTATTCACTATATCCAGTCTCCCTGGACCCTGCATTCACTATATCCGCTCTCCCGGACCCCGCATTCACTATATCTGGTCTCCCCGGACCCTGCATTCACTATATCTGGTCTCCCCGGACCCTGCATTCACTATATCCGGTCTCCCAGACCCTGCATTCACTATATCCGCTCTCCCCGGACCCCGCATTCATATATCTGTCTCCCCGGACCCTGCATTCACTATATCCAGTCTCCCCGGACCCTGCATTCACTATATCCAGTCTCCCGGACCTGCATTCACTATATCCGATCTCCCCGGACCCTGCATTCACTATATCCGGTCTCCCCGAACCCTGCATTCACTATATCCAGTCTCCCCGGACCATGCATTCACTATATCCAGTCTCCCCGGACCATGCATTCACTATATCCGCTCTCCTGGACCCGCATTCACTATATCTGGTCTCCCCCGGACCCTGCATTCACTATATCCGCTCTCCTGGACCCCGCATTCACTATATCTGGTCTCCCCGGACCCCGCATTCACTATATCTGGTCTCCCGGACCCCGCATTCACTATATCCGGTCTTCCCGGACCCCGCATTCACTATATCCTGGTCTCCCCGGACCCCGCATTCACTATATCTGGTCTCCCCGGACCCCGCATTCACTATATCCGCTCTCCCCGGACCCCGCATTCACTATATCCAGTCTCCCTGGACCCTGCATTCACTATATCCGCTCTCCCGGACCCCGCATTCACTATATCTGGTCTCCCCGGACCCTGCATTCACTATATCTGGTCTCTCCCCGGACCCTGCATTCACTATATCCGGTCTTCCCGGACCCCGCATTCACTATATCTGGTCTCCCCGGACCCTGCATTCACTATATCTGGTCTCCCCGGACCCTGCATTCACTATATCTGGTCTCCCCGGACCCTGCATTCACTATATCCACTCTCCCCGGACCCCGCATTCACTATATCCAGTCTCCCTGGACCCTGCATTCACTATACCTGCTCTCCCGGACCCCGCATTCACTATATCTGGTCTCCCCGGACCCTGCATTCACTATATCTGGACAGTGCTGATTGGCCCTGTGCTGATCACATGCACCCTCCCAAAGAAAAAAAAAAATACTCTATAGCAATACATAAAGTGAGCATGTGCAGAGCGACTCCTAGAGCTCTGTACCATCAGCAGATGGATTGGGGACAATAGAAGAAGGGGAGGATCAGAGAAGACAGGAACACAATGCAGAGGATTAACCCCTTAGGTTCCTTATTGAGTATAACAAGCATGCTTTACTGCCTATACAGACTGATTTTACTACACTTTTTAGTTTTTTACTTTTACATATATTTCATTTTATTTCCTGTCCAATTACTTTCAATAAAAGTTATATTACGTTACTGAATGGTATTTTGAAAAAAATATTTTTCATTTAAATTCATGATATTAATTAAAAAGTCAAATACATACAAAATATGTAATACAAAATATATAAATACAAAAACTGTCTTTTTTTTGGTTTTCGGCCTCGTTGCATCCTGAATTTTCGGTTTCGGTCCAGAATTTTCATTTCGGCGCACCACTAGAATTTTTTTTTTTGTTTTTAAACCAGGGTTTAGTGTCACTTTAAGAGTGATTTCTATCATTGAACGCTGAGTTTTTTGTGGGTTTATATCCGTCTGTTTGATGATCGATGATCCCCGGCGGCGAATGGGGTTAGAATGTTTTTTTAATTGGACACATTCCAGCTGTCATTGCGTGCTCGGTGGTGTATGTGTGAAATAAGTCGGTGGATGAAGGTGGAATACCGCTCAGAAGTGTGATTTCTTTGTAGGGCTTTTATGTCTGCATTTAATTTGAGTCAAATTATGCTTTTTATATCTAAAGACATGTCAAATATGACCTTATTTACAGTCTCCTTGGAAACTGCAGAGCTCCCATGCTTTGTTGCCGTCCATATCCGTTGAGCGGAGGTATGGAATTTTCTCCCAGTGATCTGGTATTCATTCTATGGACGGAGCTGATTGACTTTACAAGAGAGCATTGCATAAGTTCTCTGGTATTTACTGCTGCGATCTGGTCCCAAACTGGTTCTACCGATGTATTTTTACCGACGTTCGGCCGTCACCCGTGGAAGTGAAGCTGTTTCAGATTACCGTTTTGTTTTTTTTGTTTTTATTTCCCCTGTGGTATTTCATTGTGAAATCCCTCCAAAGTAGAAGAGCGATTGGACGTAGGATAGGGGACGGTGTACAGCTCTGACATCTGGTCTCATACGCCGTACCTTCTAATCGTCTACATATGGCCCTTCACCCAGTCCAGATACTGAATGCACAACCAAAGTTTTTTAAGCAGGACTCGGGGAATTATCTTGATTGCCAATGTGGATTGGTTCAGCTTGACATGATGTAATTATCCATATCTTATATCTGGAGGGCCGGTGGGGAGGCAGGAGGTCTCTGTAGTACCCGCTCTACATACATTCATAGCAGCTGTCTTCTGGGTTCCAAACACTTTTTCTACACTGCGCCTTTTAGGGATAGGCCTTTTGGCCAATTTGTTTGCTACGGGCCTCAGGGCCTAGCCAGGGCACAATTGCACGGCCACTTATTTATTTATTTATTATATATTATTATTATTATACAGTATTTATAAAGCGCCGATAGTTCGCTCAGCGCTGTACATTACAAAGGGGGACAGAACATGTGACAGAACAATACCAATACAATGCAAAACATGAGGGGATCGAGGGCCCTACTCTTTCGAGCTTACAATCTAGGAGGGAGGGGATGGTGGCACAGGAGGAGATAGCTGTGGGGGATGGAGTGGTAGGAAGAGTGGAGGAGGTCGGCAAGTTAGCAGGGGGTGGGGTAGGCTTCCCTGAAGAGATGGGTTTTCAGGGTGCGCCTAAAGGAGAGGAGAGTAGGTGATAATCTGATGGGTTGGGGCAGGGAGTTCCAGAGGATGGGTGACACCCTGGAGAAGACCTGGAGGCGGGCATGGGAGGAGGAGACCAGGGAACTAGAGAGAAGGAGGTCTTGTGAGGAGCGGAGTGTGCGTGTTGGGCGGTACTTGGATATTAGGTCGGTGATGTAGTTCGGGGCAGTATGGTGGACGGCTTTGTACGTCAGTGTTAGGATTTTGAATTTGATCCGTTGTGCAATCGGAAGCCAGTGGAGGGATTGGCAGAGGGGGGTGGCGGAGATGGAGCGGTTGGAAAGGTGAATGAGTCTGGCAGCCGTATTCAGGATGGACTGAAGTGGGGATAGCCTGTGGCGAGGCAGGCCAGTGAGGAGGGAGTTGCAGTAGTCGAGTCGTGATATGATGAGGGAGTGGATGAGCTGTTTAGTGGTTTCTGGGGTTAGGAACGTGCGGATTTTGGCGATGTTGCGGAGGTGGAGTCTGCACGAGCTTGTTAAAGATTGGACTTGGGGCTGGAAGGATAGGTTGGAGTCATAGCAGCTGTCTTCTGGGTTCCAAACACTTTTTCTACACTGCTTCTTTTAGGGATAGGCCTTTTGGCCAATTTTTTTGCTACGGGCCTCAGGGCCTAGCCAGGGCACAATTGCATGGCCAATTATTTATTTATTTATTTATCCCTCACTGTTTTGTCACCTTTCTCTTTTGTGTGTGTTTTTTTTCTCACTAGGATGGAGGGTGTGGGTCCTCGAGCCTGCCCTGAAGTTATGGGGAGCATGCGTGGCCATTAGGTTCCTTCCTCCCCTGTTCCTGGGGGGTCTCTCTTCGGGAGAGTTCCCTGACCTAGTACTTGATGGTTGGCTTTGGCTAGCCACAAGGAAAGGGGTCCGCCAGGCCTTTTGGCTAGGTCAGGGGTAGGCAACCTGTGGCTCTCTAGCTGTTGTGGAACTACATTTCCCATGAGGCATTGCAAAGATGGCATGATGGAACATGTAGTCCTGCAGCTCTCAGGTTGCCTACCCCTGGCCTAGGTGGACCATGTTGGAGACCCTTTCAGGAGCCTTGGGCCCGGGGGATCAGGGTAGAGGTCCTACCCCTTCCAGGGGTGGACAAAAGCACACCCGTAAGTGCACTTTTTTGTGTTTTTGCACTTGCACGTTTTTTGTACACTTACGGGTTTTAGTTTTTTCACACCTCCGCGGACTTTAATAAAAAAAAGAAAAGCTGTCTTCTGGGTCCTGCTTGTGCGGCTTCCTCTCTGTATACTGACCACTGGGGGTCGCTTGCCTAGCACCGCCACCATTCAAAGAGCGTCTTGTATTTTAATGACAGTCCTAAGGGGTCTGTACAGGGAAACGGGTGGGGGGGGTAGTTTATATTGGGGGTCTGTGCTAGTGTGCTATATGGGGTATCGGTGTGTACTGAGGGGGTCTATATTGGGGGGGTCAGTGTCCTGAGGAGTTTGTACTGCATGAGGTATCTGTACTGAGTGGTCTGTATTGGGGGTCACTGTCCTGAGGGGTTTGTACTGGGAGAGGAGTTTGTACTGAGGGGTCTTTATTAGGGGGAAGGGGTGTCTGTACTGGTGTACTGTGGGGGTGGGGAGTCTGTACTGAGGGGTCTGTATTGGCGAGTCGCAGTCCTGAGGGACATGTACTTACATGGGTTTCTGTACTGAGGGGTCTTTACTAAGGGGAGGTGTCTGTACTGAGGGGTCTTTATTGTGAGGGTCACTATCCTGGGGGTCTGTAATGGGAGGGGTCTCTGTGCTGAGGGGTCTTTACAAAGGAGAGGTGTCTGTACTGAGGGGTCTGTATTGTGAGGGTCACTATCCTAAGGGGTCTGTAATGGGAGGGGTTTCTGTACTGACGGGTCTTTACTAAGGGGGGTGTGTCTGTACTGAGGGGTCTGTATTGTGAGGGTCACTATCCTGAGGGGTCTGTAATGGGAGGGGTTTCTGTACTGAGGGGCCTTTACTTGGAGGGGGGGGGCGTGTTTGTACTGAGGGGTCTGTATTGTGGAGGTCGCTGTCCTGAAGGGTTTGTATTGAAAAGGGTGTCTGTACTGGTGTGCTGTGGGGTGGGGGGAGGGGAGTCTGTACTGAGGCATCTGTACTAGGGATGGGTGTTGGTCTGCACTCAGGGGTCTGTATTGAGGGGGGGGGGGGGTTCTGTACCTGTAATGGGGGTGTCTATATTGAGCAATCTGTACTAAGCCCCTGAATGCAACTTTGAAATCGCTCTACCTGATTGGGGGGGGGGGGGTGTCTGTATTCGAGGAATGTCTATATTGAGGGGTTTGTGCTAAGGGGGGTGTCTGTACTGTGGGAGTTTCTGTACTGGGGGGGGGTCTGTATCAAACAATGTCTATTAAATGTGTGTGTGGGGGGAGTGTCTGTACTGGGGGAAAGTCTATATTAAGAGGTTTGTGCTAAAGGGGGATGCCGGTACTGAGGATTCAGTAATTGTCAGCTATGTGGGGGGATTGGTCTGCACTGAAAAGTCTGTACAAGGTGGGGGGAGGTTTATATTGAGGGGTTTGTACTGGGGAGGGGTGTCTGTAGTGAGTGGTTTTGTACTGGGGCTTGTCATGCATGTACTGGGGGGTGTCTTGCACTGAGGGGTCTGCACTGTGGGGGTGTCTATAGTGAGTAATCTGTACTAAGTTGGAGGGGGGTCTGCACTGGGGAGATATCTATATTAAGGGGTTTGTACTAATGGGGGGGGTGTCTGTACCGGGGGAATGTCTATATTGAGG